TTGTTTGGCCCGCAGTTCCCGCGAGCCCAATCACGGCCTTTCCTTTTCTGCTCGGGGTGAGGTGATTTGCGGCAATTTCGTTTGGCCCGCAATTTGCGCGACCCAAAGATGTTTGCGTTATTTTGCTGGGGGGCTGAGATTTCTGCGAGCTCAATCCAAGCCGTTTCGGGTGAGGCGATTTGCGGGCCATCTTTGTTGGCACGCAGTTTCCGCAAGCACATTCATAGCGTGAACCTCGGCAAACCCAGCCACCGCACGGGGCTTGTGGAGGCAGGCAGACCGCGGATGACAAAATATGCGCAGGCATGCACCACATGTTTCTGGAACTTGCTGGGCTCTAGCGAATAGTACCAGTAGTAATAACACCAGCAATGGTAGAACTAGTCGCCATCGGCGTCGTAGTCGTAGTAGTAGCAGTAGTAGCAGTAGTAGCAGTAGTAGAAGTAATAATAGTAGTTGTCGTACTAGTAGTTGTCGTCGTCGCAGTAGTAGGAAAGGTAGTAATAGTAGTAGTAGTAGTAGTAGCAGTAGTAGTCGTAGTAGTAGTAGTAGTAGTAGTAGTAGTAGTAGTAGTAGTAGTAATAGCAATCGTAGCCGTAGTAGTAGCAGCAACAGCAGTAGTAGTGGTAGTAGTGGTTGTAATATGTGTAGTAGTAGTAGTAGTAGTAGTAGTAGTAGTAGTAGTAGTAGTAGTACTAGTAGTAGTAGTAGTAGTAGTAGTACTAGTAGTAGTAGTAGTGGTAGTGGTAGTGGTAGTAGTAGTTGTAGTCGCTGTAATAGAAGAAGTAGTAGTAGCAATAATGGTCGTCGGTAGTCGCCGTTGTAGAGTATAATAGTGGAGTAGTCGTAGTGGGATTCATAGTAAGAGTAGTAGTAGTAGTAGTAGTAGCAACAATAGTAATAGTAATCGTTGCCGTCGTAGCAGTAGTAGTAGAATAGCAATAGTAGTGGTAGTAATACAAGTACAAGTAGAAGTAGTAGTCGTAGTAGTAGTAGTAGTAGTAGTAGTAGTAATAGTAGGGATAGAAGTAGTAGTAGTAGTAGTAGTAGTAATAGTCGCAGCAGTAGTAGTAGTAGTAGTAGTAGTAGTAGTCGTAGTAGTACAAATCGTAGTCGTAGGCATGATAGTAACCGTCGTCGTAGTGAATGTGCAAGTGGTGGCGTTGGTGACTTTCGTAAGAAGAACATTCGCCGACATAGTCGGAAAATGATGGCGCAAACAATCGTAGTAGTACTGGTGGAATTAGTAAAAACTGTTATGCTCGTAGTCGTAATGTAGTAACTGTAGTAGTAGTAGTAATAGTAGTAGTAGTAGTAGTAGTAGTAGTAATAGTAGTGGTAGTAGTGCTAGTAGCAGTACCAGTAGTAGCAGTAGTAGTAGTAGTAGTAGTAGTAGTAGTAGTAGTAGTAAAAGAAGAAGTAGTAGACTAGTGTAGAAGTAGTAGTAGTAGTAGTAGACGTAGGAGTAGAGGTAAGTAGTAGTAGTAGTAGTAGTAGTAGCAGTAGCAGTAGTAGTAGTAGTAGTAGTAGTAGTAGTAGTAGTAGTAGACGTAGTAGTAGTCGTCGTCGTCGCCGTCGCAGTGGTAAACAATAGCAGTAGTAGTAGCAGTGGTAGTAAAAAGACAGTTACGACTGGTGGTAATAACCATAATCGTAGCAACAGAAAAAACTAATCGTAGTGAGTGGCCGAAGTAACAGCATTAGTCGTATAAGTAGAAGTGGTAGTCGTAGTCGTAGTAGTCGTGGTCTTAGTGATAGCTGCCCTAGAAATGAGAATAGTGGCCGTAGAAATGGTCGTAGTAGCAGTTGTCGTAACAGTAGCTACCATAGTCGCAATCGCAATAGGAGTGTTAGTGATAGTCGTAGTAGTCGTAGCGGTCGTAAAAAAATAGTAGCCCAAGTGCTGGTCGTAGGGGTACTGGTGGTAGTAGTAGTAATCGTTGTATTGGTAGTAGCAATAGTAGTAGTGATAATAGCGGTAGCAGTAGTAGCAGTAGTAGTAGTAGTAGTAGTAGTAGTAGTCATACCATCACCAGTACTAGTACTATTACTGCTACTGCGAGTTCTGAAAGTAGCCGCAGTAGTAGTACTTATACAAGTAGTCGTTTTCGTCGCTGCGGAAACGTCGGAGTCAAACAGGGGCTGCAATCATACTAACAATAGCCACGGTTTCCGTATGAGTAGTAGTAGCCGCCGTAGCCGTACTGGTAGTCCTACTAATCGTCACCGTCGTCGTAGCAGTGGTCGTAGTAGTCGTCGTCGCCGTACTCGTAGTAGTAGTCGTAGTAATAAGTGATAGCAGTAGCCCTTGAAGTCGGACTCGTAGTCACCATCGTAATAGTAAGAATAAAAGTGGCCGTAGTAGTAGTAGTAGTAGTAGTAGTCGTCGTAGTAGTAGTAGTAGTAGTAGTAGTAGTAGTAGTAGTAGTAGTAGTAGTAGTAGTAGTGGTAGTAGTAGTAGTGGTGGTGGTAGTCGTAGTAGTAGTAGTAGTAGTAGTAGTAGTAGTAGTAGTAGTAGTAGTAGTATCAATAAAGATACGAATCGTAGTCGCAGTCGTCGCCGTAATAGCCGTAGTCGTAGACGCAGTACTCGTAGCAGTAGTAGTAAGTAATAGTAGTAGTAGTAGTAGTAGCAGTAGTGGTAGTAGTAGTAGTAGTAGTAGTGGTGGTCGTAGTAGTGGTAATGGTAAGAGTAATGATAATCGTAGAATCGTGGTAACAGGAGCGGTAACAGCCGTAATAGTAGCCGCGGTCGTAGTATAGTCGTTGAAGCCGTAGGGTAGTAGTAGTAGTAACAATAGTAGCAGTAGTGGTGGTGGTGGTAGTACTAGTACTACTCGTAGCTGTTGCAATTGTAGTAAAGTTTCATGCATGAAGCCTTGTGCTGTGCATTTAATGTGCTGGCACGGGGGTGGGCTGGGCCGTGAAGCATTTATGCATGAACTTTTGCTTGCACGGGAGGGGGCTTTGCCTTCAATGCGCTTGCAGTAGAGGAAAGAATACAGGATTCATGTATGAAACTCTGGGCATCGCCTTTAACGTGCTCGCATGGGCGGGAGGGCGTTTGCCTTTAATTTGCTTGCAAGGAGGGGGGAGGGCGAAGACTTCATGATGAACCCGTTGATTGTGCTTCTAATTCGCTTGCACGGGGGGGGGGTCGCCTTTAAGTTGCTTGCAGGGAGGGTAAGGGATTAATGCATGAAACTTTTGGTATGTGTCCGATGTGACTACACAGTGGGAGGCTGTGTTGCATTTGCTGTGCTTGCATGGGGATGCGGAGTGAAAAACTTATGCGTGAAACCGTCGGTTGTTGCTTCACGTCCGTTGGGGCTCTCCTCAGGGGTTCTCTTGTGGGGTTTTGTTTTTGCGTGTTGCCTTGGGGCTCTCCTTTGGGGTTCTCCGTTGGGGTTATCCCCTGGAGCTCTTCCTTGAAATTCTCCTTGTGTGCCCTCTTCTGGAACTCTCCTCTGGGGTTCTCCTTTGGGGTTCTCTTTTGGGCCTGCCACCCACGGAAACATAGCCCCCCACTGGCCACGGAGACTGAACTCACACAAACCACGGAATCCGAGACCCCACAAATAACGGAAATCGAACCGCCACAGACCACGAAACCCGAACCCGCACAAGCCACAGCCACGGGCCACGGCCACAACCCACAGAACCCCGAGCCCCCACAAGCCACCGACATCGAACCCCCACAAGCAGTGGAAACGGAACCCCCACAGACCACGGAACCCGAGCCCCCACAGGCCTCGGAGATCGAACCCTAAAAGGATTGGGCGCGAAGGTCAAGACAGCGTCGAGCACCCTGAGTTTGACCCCGAGGCTGACGAAGTCCTCGACGGCCAGTGTAAAGTCGCGTGGGCTGTTGCTAATCTCGCTTCTAAGGAGCTCCCACTTTGGCCCAAGCTAGACATGGGACCAAATGTGGCTAGAGTGCCGTCACCCCGTCAGCCAGGACAGGGTGAGAACAAGCCGCCTCGCCCTGGTCACGTTTGGGACTGGGCTGGGCGTTTCTGACAGTGCCAAGCTTGCTTTCGAAATTCTCGATCGCAAGACCAGCCTGCTGTCGGGATCTGCCGTGGTGGCATTGGCGTCGGGATTCGAGTTTTCGATGTTCCTGGACTCGTTGCGCTGGGGCACACCATGATGTTCCTTGATGCTGGTGATGGCAACTTTGGTTCCATGTGCTTGGGGTACAAATGCAAAACATGTGGGGGGGGGGCATGTTTGTGGCATCAGATCCGTGCGCAAGCCTCCTCCCCTCCCTGGGTCCAGAGACACACAGACCATTGTGGAGGGGAAGCAATGGATAGCTCAAAATAGAAGGACGATGGCAAACACGATCGCAATGAGATCCTGAAGCAGTGCTGGCCTGATAATAGTGCAAGGGGTCGGACATCCCTCTCAGACGAATTCTGATTGAAATAGGGAGCTCGTTACACTCATCCTCCAGATTCGTCCAGGTCCTCCTCCTCCTCCTCCTCATCTTCCTTCTGATCATCCCCTGCCAGCCTTGACTCAAGTGGCTTGCGCAAAGAGAACCCTCAAACGCACGCCTCGCACCCTCCCCCGAGCTGATGCGCAAAGAACTGGGCTCCCGCGCGTGATCGCAAGACCATATGTTTTTTTTCTCGTAGCCATAGCGGGCGGTAAGGGACGGGGGAGAACTAAAGGGCAACGATCGAGGGGACTGGCAGAGGGGGAACACATCGACCTGGAATGGGCGGTACATCGCCGATAGATCGGCGATAGGCACCCGATTGCAAATCCACATCTTCCTGGGCGGGGTGGGGCTATCAGACCACTATCGGCGATCAGTGTGCGATTGGGGGTCGATGCCCCCAGCCCACCGATGCCTAGTCCCCTATCGTTGCCCCTGGAAGAGTTGGGATATCATGTGATTAACGCTCGCCCATGGAGGAGCGCAGGGCAGCACCTCCCAGCCTCTCAGTCCCTGCACGCCTCTGCCCGCACGCGGCGGGGGGTGTGGGCGCTGCCTGTGGCGCGGCCGGTGATACTTCGAGGGCTCTGCCAATCTCCAGGGCGAGGGGACCTGGGTATCGGCGGGTCCCGCTCATCAGGACAAGTATCCTCCTTCTCCTCCTCGTCGCAGTCCTCCTGGTGTCCTCACCCTCGTGCTCACCTTCGTCCTCGTCCTCCTCCTCCTCATTGTCTTCGTCGTCCTGCCCCCCGACGAGTCCTTCCAAACCTCAGAGTTCTCGATACCCTTCTCGTCGCCGTCCTCCTCCTCCTCCTCTTGCTCCTCCTCAACTTCCTCCTTCTCCTCTTCCTCCTCCTCCTCCTCTTCCTCCTCCTCCTCCTCCTCCTCCCCACTCCCTCCTTAGCATCATTCTCCCCTCCTACTGAACCTCCCCCCCTCGGTCTCCTGCTGCTCATGCTCCCTCGGCTCCTCTTCGCCCCCCACTGATTTGCAAGTCCTTGATTTCCTCTGATGGTACCCCCACCACCACCCACCAAAATCCGGGATCATCTTCACCGAGAGGTGGTGATCCCAGGTCGTCGTTGTCGTTCTAGTTGTGAGCGTCAATGGCGCCCGAAACACCCTGAGCCGCCAGCAACGCAAGGACGGTATACCCACTGACTTTGTTTGGGGGCTAAAGTGCCGATATGGTTGCTGCTAATGCAGTTCCCTCACTCCTCGAAGTTCTGCTCCTCCTCGAAGTTCTCCTCGAAGTTCTCTTCTTCCTTATCCTCGAAGTTATCCTCGCTCCTCCTCCTCGAAGTTCTCCTCGCTCCTCCTCCTCCTCCTCGAAATCCTCTCCTACGTCATCCCTTCGATCCTCCTCGAAATTATCCTCCTCCACCTCCTCCCGCTGATGCTGCTGATATTGCCGCCGCTGCTGCTGCTGCTGCTGCTGCTGCTGCTACTGTGCCCGTGCTCATCGTCTTCGCCCTCACTCGCCCACTCGCTCTCGTCATGTTCCACTTCCTCGTTTTCCTCAACTGATTAGCCAGAGAAGGACCCCTAACCCTTGGGAAGGGGACTTAAGCTAGGAGGTCCAACAACGTTAGGGATAGGGGGCCTGTTCTACAGATGTATCAAGCCAAACCACCTAGAATTCATTATCACTAGTGCAAGAAATAACAAAAATATAAATGAGGCCACGTCGTTCTCGTGTTATTAGCGTCAGGGTTTTTGTTCTCGATGATCAACCTCCCCCTCTTTCCCAATTGAATCTAGGAGAACGGTGCTTGCACGTAGAATTTCTCAAATATTTCCCAACTGCTTGGGCGGGCCTTTAAGCTTTTCGGCTGGTGCCCGTGAGTGCGCCGGCTGGACTTTCGAGGGCTCCTGTCCGGTGGGAACTCCACACGGCTGGCACCACACGGCTGACACGTGGGCGACCCGTGGGAGCTCCACACGGCCGGCACCACACAGCGTGCTCCACACAGCTTGCACCAACTACGCGTGTGTTTGTATATAAACATAGTTATGCACGTATGTATGTATGCATGTATAGTTGTATGTGTGTTTGTCTATGTATGTATGTATGTGTGCATGCATGCATGTATGTGTGTATGGATGGATGTACGTATGTATGCATGCATGCATGCATGCATACATGCAGACATGCATGCATATATGTATGCGTGTTTGTATGGTTGTATGCATGTGTATGTATGTATGAATGTGTATATATATATATATGTATATATGGTTGTGTGTATGTATGTATGCATGTATGTATGTATGTGTATGTATGCATGCATGTGCATGCACGTAGGTATATATGTATGGATGGATGGCTGGATGAATGTACGCATGACTGTATGTATGTACATATGGAAATACGTAGGCATGCATGTGTCTGTATGCATGCATCTGTCTGTATGTGTGCATGTATATATATATATATATATGTATACATGTATGCATGCATGCATTATGTATGTATGCAAATAATTACTCATGGAATTATACATGTATGATGTATGCATGTATGCATGTTTGTATGTCTGCATGTATGGACTGCACCACATACGTTGCACCAGCTAACGTGCATAGTATAGTAGTCTGCGCCACGTGGCTGACCCAGCTGACGTTGCACTTCACTGATTACACCACGTAGCTTACAACGCACAGCTTTCACCACACACCTTGCACCGTTTTGCATTCACGATATAGCTTGGACCACATAACTTGCGCCCCTTCTATTGCGTCAAATCCGCCACCGTGCCCTTCAGGCAGTTGCAATGTCCTCAGGTCCTTGGCCTAGTCCCTTAAGCCTCCATCCTCAATCCTGAGGATCGAGGCCTGGGCCCAAAATTGCCAGATCTTCTGGGGCCCGCCGCGTGGCCCCTGGGGTTCCCGTCGTGACCCCTGGGGTTCCCAGCGTGCCACCGTGTTCTGGGGCGTCTTCTGGCATAACGTTCTCGGCCCCCAAAGGGCCCCCAGACGGGCCCAAAGAGGCCCCAAGAATCCCCCAAGACGGTCCAAGGTGGCCCCGAGTCGCCGCACGATCGGTCCAAAACGTCCAGTGCGGTCTCAAGGCGGCCCAAGATCCCCACGAGACGCCGCAAGAGGCCGCCAAGAGGCTTCCCCGAAGGGCCCCAGAAGGCAACAATCATTGATTGTGAAGGCCTTACGGCCAGCGCTGCCAACCCAGAAGGACGACGACGACGACAACCACCACCACGACGACAACGACACCGACGAGCTGATGACCCTGCCACAGGCACGACACGTGCGGCGGGCGGTGGAGGGAGGAGGAGGAGGAAAGGGAAGACCAGGAGGAGGAGAAGGAGGAGGAGCAAGAGGAGGAGGAGGAGCAGGAGGAGGAGGAGGAGGATAACGAGGCGGAGGAGAAGGAGGAGGAGGAGGAGGGGGAGGGGGAGGGGGAGTCGGAGGGAGGATGATGATGAGGATGAGGATGAGGATGAGGATGATGAGGATGAGGCAGGGCACTCAAGAGGCAGGAGGAGTACTATCAGTGCAAGGCCAAGCAGAAGAAAGCCGAGGCCAAGAAACAGTTGGAGGAGACAGAGGCAGAGACCTTCGACACTAACCAGTGGGACGCCAAGCAAGAGAGAGCCGAAGATAAGAGACATTCGGATTAGACGGAGGCAATGACCTTTGTTATGAGGAACAAGACAACCACATACAAACATAGTAATGCATACGCAAAAGAGGTGTGAAGACCATCCACTCATCCATCGACGTCTGGAATCGCGAAGGGAATATTATCGCTGGAGGCTAACGGCGTCAAAAGCAGCTGACCCAAGCGCATCAACGTTAACTCCAACAGGAGCTGCATACCCGGGAACAGCTAGTACTTCATGAACAACATATGCAACAACACATGCAATGTGCTGCTACACAGCTTCAGCAAGAACATGCCCAGACGTGCGCGGAGGATAATATCACTTTTCATGATCAGCTCAAGCAGAAGGGCATCGAGGTACAGTACAGGCACCACGAGATGCACAGCAGCTCGGAACAGATGTGGAACAACATCAAAAACGAGGAGAACGCCCACATCAAGGAGCAATGTCTGGGCCCATATGGCGAGATGCAGAAGCAGTTCACGGACAGTCAGAGGCAGCAGTACCATGATATCGAGCAGTGGAAGCAGTACGAGGCGCAGCTTGCGAAGGACAATGCGCGACGCCACCAGCTCCAATACTAAGAGCAGCACGCAGAGCTCCTAGCTACAATTACCAACGAACTTCGTACACACCAGCTCCAACACCAACACCTTGAATAGCCACTTCAACAAGCTCGAGAGACGCATGACGAGATCCAACGCGAGGTCATGAGGGAGCTAGCGCAGCAGGTTTAAGATCACCGAGAAGAAACCATAAAAAACACCTGTTCGAGATCGAGGAGAAAAGGATCCTTAATGACGCTTAAAGCAGTGCATGTACGCCCTTGTCCCTGGACAATGCGACAGCATCCGGCCCGACCTCGACGTCCACCTCGCCAAGCTCCCAGGCCCTAAGGCACCGACAGGACTGACGTAGACCACCACCGACAACGACTTCAAGCCACATGAACTTGGTTTAGCGCCCGACATCCCCAAATACCAGCCGCCTGCGGTGCGCCCACCCTTGCGTGCCCACCCGGGCCAATGGTCCTTTCGCCGAACCCACCATCCCCATCCTGGCCCAACCTACCCTTGCGACGATGACGGTTACGGAGCAGGTCTTAGAACGAGCTCGAGTTTGCCGATCACTGACGTCTCACATGACTCCGACCTAATCGGAGACGTCGCAACAAAGCTCCCCCCCACTGACCCCAACGCTCAGAGCAAACCACCCCTACCCCCACGGAGCAGCCGACCCCACCACCCACCACTGAATATGCGACCTTCCCAGAGAGGTCAGGGCCATGTCAGCCCCGCCCGAGATGCGTTCCGACGAACTCAGCTCGCATACCCCAGTCCCAACCACCACCATCCTCATCGACGTCAAACGACGACGCCGCAGACACCATCCATCCGAGGACGCCGACTCGACAACCCTTCTCCGACTTGAAACCCGCTCAGCCCTTCGAGCCAGCAGCCCCACCGCCACGCGTTCACCCCGGGGCCCCTGAAAAGGCACGATGGACCCCACCTTTACGCACCGCTCTACAGCGTACTGACCGATCCAGCATGATCACTCTGGAGCACCCCAAGAAAGTAAGAATCTGCGACCACGGCAACGGATTCGAGGATCCAGGCAACAGGCACGCGAGCTTCATCGATCATGACAGAGCGCCTGACTGCCCACGACCAATGAACTAAGTTCGACGGTGCTCCCCAGGAGGCGACTGGCCCAGGGAAGCGACCACCACGAGCAACCAGAATAGCGAGCACCGACCACGCCCAGCAACTTCGACTCGCGTACTGCTTTGCGGCGCCAAGTCGTGCTCACCAACACGAGCATCTGGCTAGTTCCGATCAGCCATGCGTACCAACAACACTTAGTTGTCTTTCACCACCAACAACCACTGGCCACCAGCACGCTGCACCGCACGACCGATTGACGAAAACCTTTGGGAACGGCACACCAACGCTCTAGCATGCAGCAGCCACACGACCACAACCCCAA